CACTAGTTTATAATGTCAAGTATCAGAGGGGTAGCCGTGTTAGTCAGAATCTGCAAAAGCGATGAGGAGTCCTGGATCAGCTGCTAGAAGTGGGCCTCATCCTCCTTGATTGGATCCACCTCGTCATCTCCAGCCTGATCCTGGCCTGCATATTTATTCCTGCCTCTGGAAATTTCCACTACATGCATCTGACGAAGTGGGTCTTTGCCCACGAAAGCTTATGCTCCTACACTTCAGTTAGTCTATAAGGTGCCACAGGACTCCTCGTCGCTTTTGTAGTTTATAATGGAGGTTGTTTTACCCCTTCCAGTCTCTTGGAAGCTGCAGGGTTAATTTAGCAGAGCATCTTAGCTTCAAACCATGTCCTTGGCATAATGAATTGGCTGACTCAGATCAACAAAGAGAGCACCAAAGAGATTTAAATAGCTAGACATAAAGATAAATATCTTTGTTCTCTCTGGTAAGCAGTGGCTTGCTCATCATATTTCAGATTGACTATAATCCATTTACATGATTGTATAAACCAGGTGATCTCTAGCAGTCCCATGTGTGCGACTCTAGAGGAGGCAGAAGTGAAAAGGAGGGGATTGGGAGTTTCTTCAGATACAGCAACAGTGCTCAGGCCATAATGCCTGCAGATTGGTGATTATCTGCTATCATAGAATCATAGAATAATAGGACTGGAAGGGACCTCGAGAGGTCATCGAGTCCAGCCCCCCGCCCTCAAGGCAGGATCAAGCTCCGTCTACACCATCCCTGACAGATGTCTATCTAACCTGTTCTTAAATATCTCCAGAGAGGGAGATTCCACCACCTCCCTTGGCAATTTATTCCAATATTTGACCACCCTGACAGTTAGGAATTTTTTTCCTAATGTCCAATCTAAACCTCCCCTGCTGCACTTTAAGCCCATTACTCCTTGTCCTGTCCTATCCTTAAACCCCCATCTGCCACTCAGTGAACAAATCAGGGTTCCCTTGAAATTGGAGACTTCTCTTTTGTGTGAGCCCCTCTCTGGCTTTAGATGCATCTTCAATGGCTGTGGAACATCTGGAATGAATGTACCAGCTGTGCTGGGTACATCAAGGCAAAGCATGTCTGTTGTACCATCAAACTCACTTGGTGTGTCCAGGCAGAGAAACATGGCTGCAGTGGAATATTAGTTCAGGGGGAGCAACAGCAAAAAGGTTGAGAAGCAAACAGCTTTTTGCCACTTACCACATGGGTTATGCAAATCCACTGCAGGAGGAGCTGACTTCTTGCTGCCTGCAAATGTGCATATTGCTGCTTGTATGTCTGACTCATACCCACCACCTGTATTTTAGCCAAAATCCAGATGTACTCAGCTGCATTGCAGATGGAAAGACCAACAGATAGACAGGTGGGGAGGTTTCTGTTTTCCTTCCTGCCTTCTGGGCATTCCTACTCCTTTGTTCTTCCCTTGCTTTGATGACTATAAAACTGAAAAGGAATTAAAGAATGAAATGAGAGAGATCTGCTAATTGGAGAAGAGCAGGAGAGAGCTGATGGGATGGTCCAGCAGAACCTAATTATAATATCTGGTAATCAAAGAATTGGGGATATTGACTCAGAAAAATTCCTTCCTGTCCCACCCTAGTAACCTTCCTTTCTCCTAGAACAAACTTTCCTACTGTAGGTCATAGCACAGATATTTGGATGCTACATTGGTAAGTGCTACAGGAAACCAACAAGAAATAAATAATAAATTGACGTAGTCCTTAGACTATATAGTGCTTTTTTAATCCACAATACACAATGGAAACATTAGAAAACTGAGGCATAGAGCAATCAAGTATATTGCACAAGGCCATGTGTGTGAGAAACTGCCAGAGTCAGGAACAGAAGCCAGGGGTTCTGATGTCCTGAGCTGGTTGAAGATTTTTTCTCCCATTTTTCAAAAAATATTTTATGGGAATTTTACTTTGGTTGAAATTTCTAGCTTTCCTAACCAGCTCCACTCCACGTCCTTTCCACAGCCACTGTGCCACATGGGTTCTGATCAGTGGGTTGGAGAGCTAAATGTTGTGGCTCTGCATCCATTCTGATTTCAGTAACCTCTGTACAAGGCAGACACTCCTGAGTCTCATTCAGGCAGCCTACACCCCAGACCCCCCAACTCAGTTCTGCCTCTTGTCAGGTTTACATGAATTTGCAGAACTCCTTGGCTGTGTCTACACTGGCGTGATCTTGTGCAAAAGTGGCCTATCTTGCGCAAAAACTTGCTGCCTGTCTACTTTGGCTGCGTGTTCTTGCGCAAGTAAACTGATGTGTAGACAGGCAATATAATTTCTTGTGCAAGAAAGCCCTATGGTTAAAATGGCCATCAGAACTTTCTTGCGCAAGAGAGCGTCTACACTGGCAAGGATGCTCTTGTGCAAAAGCACATGCCAGTGTAGACACTCTCTTGCGTAACTACTTTAATGCAAGAATTCTTGCACTAAAGAGTTTTTGTGCAAGATCACGCCAGTGTAGACGTAGCCCCTTGAGTAATTCTCCAAGGAACCCTGACTGATTTGAGCGAGTGGTTAATCACCTTGAGGTTAGCACATATGACATGTGGTTGAGGATCAACAGGAAATTGTGAGTCAAACCATTGGGATTGATAAGGGATCTTCAAGCCATTCAGGTTTTTAGTACATGTGTGCACACCAATGCTGAATGAAGGTCAGAGGAGTAACATCCCTGGGGTCTTATGCACACTCACAATTGCTGGAACTGAAAACATGAGAGATGTTGTCAGAGTTGTATGAGGGCCAAGAAGCAGGAAAGCTGAAGCTGCTGCAGGCCTGGACTGAAGTGTATTGGCAGAGCTGTCTGAAGGGTTTAGGATGGCAATAACACACTGCAGATCAAGGTTGAGGTGCTTCAGAAGATTAATGTGGGGGCCCAGGTCTGTATAGCAATCAGGTTACAGGAAAGGATTGATTAGCATTGGCTTCCCAGGAATGGAATGACAGGGATGTTGCAGGTCAGCACTAAAACACATTGGCAAAGCTTTGAGTGGAGCTCTCTGTTTCCATCCATCCTCCCTCTTTATGTAGTATTTCCATGGTGCTCTCAAAGAATAGAGAAGACTTGCCACAGGGTCCTTGCTCCACCCTTCCCAAGAGCCTCTCTTTTTCATCACTGAGGCCTCTGAGGATTGCTGTCTGCCCTTCACCTGCAACCTCTGCACCTTCCTCATTGACTCTCCATTCACTCCTGTTTGCTGACTTCCCTTGACCCCAACCTCACTGCCATTCTCTCTCTGTCTTAACCTCTGTCTCTCTTCTTCTTCTCCTCCCTGTAAATCTCTGCTGATTTTAATTATTTTAATGCTGTAGATGTGAGTAGTTCTGATTCTTTGTTTAATGGAACAGCAATAGATTGGTGCCTACTTGCTCTGGAAAATCTGTATCAAGAGCTTGCTGTAGCAAAGTGCATATGGTAATCAGGATTTAGGGGACTCACCACATGCTTCCAAGCCTCATGGATAGACGAACATGTTCTTCAGAGCTCCGAAAGTGTGTTGGAAAGAGACATGTTGTGGACCAGTCAGGAAAAATACATTCAATCAAGAGCTGGTTTAAAGGGGGGAAGAATATTTTGGAGCTTGATAGGACTATATGTGCATGCTTTTGAGAAGGGTAAGAAATGCAGGGGAAAGGTGCTTCAGAAATATTGAATAGCCTTGCAATATTACTGCAAGTCTTGTGATATTTGGTATTTGTCTTAAAAACTGATCATCTGGTGGTATATGATTATGAGAGTATCAGTGTTCATTTTTTGTAAGGAACTTTACGAAGACCCTTATGGCTTTGGAGTAAAACTTGTACATGTGACCTGAGCACATGCAAAGGCTAAGAAACTAGAGAGAAAAGTAAAAGAAATCAAAGGTGGTATTTTATTTAAAAATAATCCTCGTGATTTTAAAGTTAATCTTGATCTTTTAAGCCTGATTTGTGGTTTTTGAGTATCTTAGGTTGGCAGCCCTGAGAAGGCAGAATGGACTGTAATTTTATAGTATCTGTTGTGCAATGACTTTAATTACAAAGGAGTGTGCACTATGAGTTGGCATCACACCTTTCAGTAGTCAAACAAGACCTGAGTGGCTGAGGCAGGGTCATGTGACAAGATGGTTGGCTTTGATGCCCACCCTATGTCAATCTCCTATGGTATCTGTATTACTGTATGAGGGGCATATGATCCTCTTTCAACCAATCATATTGTGTCTTTTCCCCTCTCAGTTGCTCCTCCCACTTTCATATTGATTTTGAAAAACATATGGGCTGTGTCTAGACTGGGAAGTTTTTCCGCAAAAGCAGCTGCTTTTGCGGAAAAACTTCCCAGTCTAGACACAGCCCATATGTTTTTCAAAATCAATATGAAAGTGGGAGGAGCAACTGAGAGGGGAAAAGACACAATATGATTGGTTGAAAGAGGATCATATGCCCCTCATACAGTAATACAGATACCATAGGAGATTGACATAGGGTGGGCATCAAAGCCAACCATCTTGTCACATGACCCTGCCTCAGCCACTCAGGTCTTGTTTGACTACTGAAAGGTGTGATGCCAACTCATAGTGCACACTCCTTTGTAATTAAAGTCATTGCACAACAGATACTATAAAATTACAGTCCATTTTGACTTCTCAGGGCTGCCAACCTAAGATACTCAAAAACCACAAATCATTGGCAGATGGAGATCGTCACAACTACTGCTGCTGCCACCATAGCGGGGTTAGATAAAATACATACATCTTCAGAACTGTCAATCCAGCATCTCCCACTGGTGCCAACCACCTCAGTTTTTGCTTTACTTGGGGCCATGCCAAACACACACCTTCGCTTAACAAATAAAGGTCAGAAATGCAAATTATTAAAATTAAGTTAATAAACATGTCTGTGAGTGTGTGAGCATTGTGTATATGTATGCACAATCATTAAACAATGCTAATAGGGGGACTCTGTAACTCAGCTGTTCCCCTTTGGTTTCAGAGTCTAACAGCCGACGAGCAGTCAACAGAGGCTATCTGTGTGAATTGCTCAGACTGTACCAGGACTGGCATCGCTGCGACACCTCCAATAGGTGCATCCATGTCCGCAGGGGTCTTCTGCTCTGCCTCAAACACATCACCAACATTCAGTCTGCCAGGGAGATTTTCCTAAGTGCCCATGGCATGGAGATCCTCTTCACCACTGCACAGGTAAACACAATCAGGGGATTTGACTGAGCAGCTGCTCCTAGCTTGTTCTACCCTCAGAGTGTAGCATTCTTCTTATGTTTTAAGCAGAACGAATTGAAAAATGAAATTCCCATCTTGCTTTTTCTATGCGATACTTTGACTATTGTGTTTGTTGCAAATCAGACAAAAATTCAAAATGTGGCAATTTCTCAGAACAATCAGTTCAGAAATGTTGGAATATTTCATCTTTAATGTTACTCTCTGTCTATCTGTGTCTCTGCACTGCCTCATGGGAATTGTAGGTCCACCTCCCTCATGCCCTTATTCTTTTCTATGGATCCCACTCCCTGGTCAGCTGGCATTTCCCAGGATACTCCACCATCCCTCTCTGTGGCTGAACAGCATCTCATGGGATGTTTCATTTTAATTTTTAAATGGAAAATTCTACCAATACTTTTCTTTTCCTGACAGAAAATTTTAATTTTGGCAAAACCTTTCTGTCCTGGCAGGAATATGTTTTGCTCAAAATTTTTCAGCTGGGCTCAGTTTTAGTTTTTGAAAAGTAAGTGTAGTGCTAGTGAGACAACAGCTGCCCTGAAGATGGGGTCCTTGTGGCTGGAGGGAGGGCAAGTACAGGACAGGCAGCAATTTCTTCTCATGACCATCCATCAATGTGCTTCTTTAGTCATGAAATGAAGGGACCACTGTGGCCTATTTAATACCTGGCCAGTGGGATTCAACAAGCAATGTTTTCTCTTAGGATTATAACTGGCATGTGCCCTGCCTTCTGTCCTAAACCAACCTTCTAGTGGTGAACAATCCAGACCCCCAAATTCTTCATGGCATACAATATATGCAGTGGCCCAGATCTTCTACTTTCCAAACCCCAAGACCAACAACTACTGCTGCCACAGAAAGCTACCCGTCCCCCTATTGTAGGTACTATATGGATGGGGTGATTGTTCCCTTGTCTGGGGCATGAGGAATTGGCCACTACTTCAGATGGGACTAGGGAACAGATGTGGCAAGATTTCTATCAGATATGGCTCTTATAACAGTAAGTCCCCAATTCACATGGAGGATGGCAACAGCTGAGTGAGAGCAAAGTCTGTGACAGCCGATTATGGATTGTTGCCTCTATGAACCTGAAACTATCTATGGTTCCTTCTGAGCTAACATCTCCTGATAGCTCAGCCTGGGAGCAGCACCCTGAAAAGTGCAAACACTGGGTCACCTTGGGTGAATAAACAAGATACGACACACCAAGAATCCTGTGAAGAGAATGCTAATCCTTTCAAAGGTCAGAAGTGGAGCAGAAATGACAGCTTCGGGGGGTTCC